GTGGAAATTAGTTCAACCATTGTGGAAGACAGTGTGGCGATTCCTCAAAGATCTAGAACCAGAAATACCATTTGATCCAGCAATCCCATTACTGGGTATATACCCAAAGGATTATAAACCATTCTACTATGGGGACACATGCACATATATGTTTATTGCAGCAGTGTTCACAATAGCAAAGACTTGGAACCAACCCAAATGTCCATTAAGGATAGACTGGATAAAGAAAATGTGGCACATATACACCATGGAATACTATGCAGCCATAAGAAAGGATGAGTTCATTCCCTTCGCAAGGACATGGATGAAGCTGGAAATTATCATTCTCATCAAACTAACACAAGAACAGAAAACCAAACACCACATGTTCTCACTCATAAGTGGGAGTTGAACAATTAGAACACATGGACACAGGGAGGGGAACATCACACACTGGGGCTTGTTGGGGGTGGGAGACCAGGGGAGAGAGAGCATTAGGAGAAATACCTAATGTAGATGATGGGGGGGATGGATGCAGCAAACCACCATGGCACGTGCATACCTATGTAACAAACCTGCACTTTCTGCACATGTATCTCAGAACATAAAGTACAATAATACAAAAACATAAAAAAATATAAAATAAAACAAAACAGTTGTTTCAACAGAACATAAAGAATGGAATAGAAGCATAATAGAATGTCAAAGTGAATCATGCATAGTAAGGTTACGTATTCTTTCATAGAAATAAATAAATATTGCTACCTACATCTGTACTTCGAAGATACGTAAAACATATTTCTTTGATGCAAATGATGAATCATTTAGGACAAAAGTTTGCCTCCTCCACCCATCACTTCATCAAAGAGCCAGGAGTCAGAAGGAGGACTCTCCTGAGTAAGGACTGAGGGTCCACCCGCCCCCACAGAGAGGGGCCACAGAATCCAGCTCAGCCCCTTCTGTCAGCCTTGGAAGACCCTAGCAATGTTGACACTCTGACCACACCTCTCCCCCAGTCCCACTTCAGAGGACTCAGAGTCAGAAACTTGGTGTGAGGGAAGTAGACACTGTCAGCAGAGAACAGGACCCAGGCTCTGCCAGGCATCAACGTCAGGACCCTGAGGGATGGCATGATTCCCCACCCACACCCCTACCACCACCTACAGAGCCACGATCCCCACCACCACCCCCAACCCCATCCTCAACACAAAGACCTCCAGCCTCCACTGCCACCCTCACCCACATTATGGCAGGATCTGGTTCTACCCATTCTGCCAACCCCCAGAAGTATCAGATGGCCTGGATGTGATGCCACTGATTTGATCATTGGGGGTCAGAGAGAAGAAAGGTTCTTGGTCTTAGGTGCAGCTTGAGATCAGTGGAAGGAAGCAGGCCCAGGCTCTGTGAGGAAGCAAGGTGAGAGGCTGAGAGAGGATTGAGGATACCCTACCCCAGATATCCCCAAATAATCCACCACCGCTCCTGCTGCTGGCCCTGGAACACCCAGAAGCAGACTTCTCAGTCAGGGTCGCCCCCAGTCCCCCGCCGCTTAAGCCCCCGAGCACTCTGGAAACAGCCTGGCATGACTAGAAAAAGGCTGGTTAGGAGAGGGCAGCATCCAGGCTCTGTCAGGCATTCAGGTCAGGAACCTAATGGAGGGCTGAGGGTCCCTCACCCTTATTCCCATCCCCTACCACATCCCCATTTCCATTTTCATTCCCAATCCTTTCACCACCCCCATCCTCCACCAGCACCTCCATCCTCATTCCTACCCCACCCCCAAACTCATCTCCCCCACCCTCACCCTGCATATAGCCCCATCCTGACAGAATCCGGTTCCACCCAGGTTTTCAACCCAGGGAAGCCGCAGGTGCCCAGATGTGACGCCACTGACTTGCGCATTGGGGGTTAGAGAGAAGCCAGCTTCTTGGTCTGACCAGCAGCTTGGGATTGACAGAGGGAAGCGGGCCAGGCTCTGTGAGGAGGCAAGGTGAGACGCTGAGGAAGGACTCAGGAGACACTCACCCCAGGTAGACGACCCCAAATAATCCAGCACCACTCCTGCTGCCAGCCCTAGACCACCTGGGGGTGGACTTCTCAGGCTGAGCCATCCAGCACACCCCGCCAACCCCCACCACTCAAGCCTCAGGGGACTCTGGAGTCAGAACTTGTCGTGACCAAGGCAGGGCTGGTTAGGAGAGGGCAGGGCCCAGGCTCTTCCAGGCATTAACATCAGGACTTTAAACCAGGGCTGAGGGCCCTGCATCCCCATTCTTAACTTAAGCCGCAGGGGACTCTGGAGACAGAGGTTGGTGTGACCAGGGAAGGACTGGTTAGGAGAGGACAGCTCCAAGATTCTGCCAGGAAACAAAGTCAGGAACCTAGGGGAGAGCTGAGGGTACCCCCACCCCAAACTTCATTCCCATCCCTACCTCCATTCCCCACTTACACCCCCATTCCTCCACCCCACCCCTATTGGCAACTCTCTCCCCCATCCTCCACCCCCATCCTGGCAGAATCTGGCTCTGCCCCTGCTTTCAACCCAGGGAAGCCCTGAGTGGCTGGATGTGATGCCACTGACTTGTGCATTGCCGGTCAGAGAGAATCAAGGGCATAGTTCTGAGGGGCCGATTGAGATCAACAGAAGAAAGTGGGCCCAGGTTCTGTGAGAAGACAAGGTGAGACTTGAGGAAGGACTGAGGAAGCCCCCACCCAGATAGAGGACCCCAGATAATCCAGCACTGCCTCTGCTGCCAGCCCTGGGCCACCCGGGGACAGACTTCTCAGGCTGGACCATCCCCCCTCCCCACTGCCACTTAAGCTGCAGGGGATTCTGCAGTCAGACCTTGGTGTGACCAGGGCAGGGCCAGTCAGGAAATGGCTAGGTCCAGGCTCTGCAAGGCATCAAGGTCAGGACCCTGAGAGGGAACTGGACCCCCACCCCAACCCCTATATCCATCCTTAATCCCATCCCCACCTTACTTACATTTCCATTCCCATTCCCATCCCCAACCCTATCTTGGCAGAATCTGTTTCTTCCCCTCAGTCAACACACGGAAGGCCCGGAAATGACAGACAGGCACATGGACCCTGATGTCCATATCCAGGGCTGAAGGAGGGAAGGGACTTAGTATAATGAGCAGGGCCTCAGGGGAGCCTCTGCTCCTCAGGAGGGCCCAAGCCCTGCTGGGAGTAGAGGGAGGCCTCAGGGGACCCAAGTTCTCAAGATAGGGGGCCCACTCCACCCCTGTCTGAGACCGAAGTGCCTCCTTTTTCCCTCTTGGGAATCAGAGGGATGGAGACTCAGGTCAGCAAAGGGGTGGGGCCCAACCCTTCCAGGAGCAAGGAGAGGAAGAAGACGGAGGACTCAGGGTACCTTGGAGTCCAGATCAATGGAGACCTGGGCCCTGAGAGGTCCAGTGCACAGTGGCCAACTGTACCCCATGCTTGTTGCACCTTCTGGATGACAGAGAGGAGAAGGCTGTGGTCAGAGCAGTGGTGACTCAGGTTAACGGAGGGAGGAGTCTCAGTATCCACAGGCCCCAAGCTGTGCCCCATTCATGAAGATTGGGGATACCTCATCTCAGAAAGAAGGGACCCCAACAGAGTCTGGCTGTCCCCTGATTATTGCTCAGAGGGGACCACATCAAGGATGGCCCTATGTGCCAATCTCATTTGTGCCACAGGAAGAAAGTTGAGGAGCCCTCAGGGAGATGGGGTCTTGCAGTAAAGGGGAGCTATCTGGTCATCTCACACGGTTTCAGGTTGAGGAAGGGCAGGCCTCATCAGGAGTGAAGATGAGTAACCCACAGGAGGTTATAGTAACATTCACCCCAGGACCAAAGGGGTCATACCTGGACACCCCATGTGGTGGTGACAGGATATGGCTTCATCTCATTCCTGTTTGCAGATCTCAGGGAAGTGAGGAACCTGTTCTCAGAGGGTGACTCTGGTTAACACAGGGGACCCCATCTGGTCAACAGTTGGAGAGGTTCCAAGATCTTTCAGTAGTTCTGGTTAGGAACATGAGGGAGGATTGAGGGTACCCTTGGGCCAGAACACAGGTGAGAACTCCACAGAAATCTGCCCTTTCCCTGCTATCAAACCAGAGAACATGGGCAGGGCTGTCTGGTGAGGTCCCTCCCTTACCCTGAGATCACTGGTGTCAGGGATTGGGAGGCCTCGGTCTGAGGGGGCTGCACTCAGGTCAGAAGAGGGAGTGTTTTAGGCCCTGCCGGGAGACAAGGTGAGGACCAAGCAGGTTCCTCACCCAAGACACATGGATTCTAAAGAATTTCGGCATCTCTTGTTGTCTTACCAGGAGGACCTGGGCACATGCGGCCAGATGTGTCTCCTCATGTCCTGTTCCCCATCAGGGATGTGAACCCTTGATCTGAGTTTCTCAGGCCAGCAAAAGGATGGGATCCAGGTCTTGCCAGGAGAAAGGCGAAGTCCTTGCTTGAGCACGGACGGGACCATCCAGCCCAATAGGGTGGGGGCCTCATGAAGTCCAGCCTACCCTCCTGTTAGCAGTGGGAGCCTGAAGGCCCATGGATTCCTCTTCCAGGAGCTCCAGGAAATAGATACCGAGGCCTTGATCTGAGGCAGTGTCCTCAGGTCACAGGGAAAAAGAGGTACAGATGTCTAGTGCCAGCAATGAACTGAATGCACACTGATGCCCCCCACTGTCCCAGAACACATGGGACTCCAGATTGCCTGGCCTCATCCTCCTTACTGTCAGTCCTGCAGAATCAGCCTCTGTTTGCCTGTTGTACCCTGAGGTGCCCTCTCACTTTTTTCTTCAGGTTCTCAGGGGACAGGCTGACCAGGATGGCTAGGAAGCCCCAGAGGATCCCCAGGAGGCCCTAGAGGAGCACCGAAGGAGAAGATCTGTAAGTAAGCCTTTGCTAGAGCCTCCAAGGTTCAGTTCTCAGCTGAGGCCTCTCACACACTCCCTCTCTCTCCAGGTCTGCAGGTCTCCATTGCCCACACTCCTGCCTGCTGCCCTGACCAGAATTATCATGTCTCTTGAGCAGAACAGTCAATCCTGCAAGCCCGAGGAAGGCCCTGAGGCCCAAGAAGAAGCCCTGCGCCTGATGGGTGCTCAGGCTCCTGTTGCTACCTCCTCCTCCTCTACTCTGGTCCCAGGAACCCTGGATGATGTGCCTGCTGCTGGGTCACAAGGTCCTCTCGAGAGTCCTTAGGGAGCCTCTGCCTTCCCCACTGCCATCAATTTCACTGTATGGAGGCAATCCATTGAGGGCTCCAGGAACCAAGAAGAGGAGGGGCCAAACACCTCTCCTGACCTGGAGCCTGTGTTCCGAGCAGCACTCAGTAAGAAGGTGGCTGACTTGATTCATTTTCTGCTCCTTAAGTATTGAGCCAAGGAGCTGGTCACAAAGGCAGAAATGCTGGAGAGTGTCACCAAAAATTACAAGCACCTCTTTTCTGTGATCTTCAACAAAGCCTCCGAGTCCATGCAGCTGGTCTCTGGCATTGACATGAAGGAAGTGGACCCCACCAGCAACACCTACACCCTTGTCACCTGCCTGGGCCTCTCCTACGATGGCCTGTGATTGATAATAATCAGAGCATGCCCAAGACAGGCCTCCTCAAGACAGGCCTTCTGATAATTGTCTGGGCATGATTTCAATCCAGGGCAAATGGGCTCCTGAGGAGAAAGTCTGGGAGCAGCTGAGTGTGATGGAGGTGTATGTTGGGAGAGAGCACAGTGTCATTGGGGAGCCCAGAAAGCTGCTCATCCAAGATTGGGTGCAGGGAAACTACCTGAAGGTGGCCAGCAGTGATCCCACATGCTATGAGTTACTGTGGGGTCCAAGGGGGCTTGCTGAAACCAGCTGCATGGGAGCCCTGGAGCATGTTGTCAAGGTCATTGCAAGAGGTCGCATTTCCTACCCACCCTGGTGTGAAGAGGCTTTGAGAGAGGAGAGAGAGGGAGTCTGGGCATGAGTTGCACCCAAAGCCAGTGGGAGGAGCGCTGGGCCAGTGCACTTTCCAGGGCCCTGTCCAGTAGTTTACCCTGCCTTATTTGATATGAGGCCCATTCTTCATTCTTTGAAGAGCAGTCAGCATTCTTAGTAGTGGGTTTCTGTTCTATTGGGTGATGTTGAGATTTATCTTTGTTTTGGAATTGTTCAAATGTTCCTTTTAATGGATGGTTGAATGAATTTCAGCATCCAAATTTATGAATGACAGTAGTCACACATATTGCTGTTTACATAGTTTAGGAGTAAAAGTCTTGTTTTTTATTCAGATTGGGAAATGCATTCTATTTTGTGAATTGGGACAAAGTAACAGCAGTGGAATAAGTATTCACTTAGAAGTATGAATGTATTAGCAGTAAAATTGATGGGATTCAGAAATTAAGATAACCAGAGTGGTACCTAGGTGTCTAAAAGTTACTGTCCAATGTGAATTGTTATATCAAAATAGTTGTTGATATCACATGGCTTCCTGGGTGAAAGATGGGACAGCCAGAGGACTCCTACTGGGAGAAGGACATAATAATTCTTGCCTTATACTCAGTCCGTCCTGTAAAACTTTAAAAAATATGTGCATACCTGGAGTTCCTTGGCTTCTTTGAGAATGTAAGAGAAATTAAATATGAATGAATAATTCTCTCTGTTCACTGGTTCATTTCTTGTCTATGCACTGAGCATTTGATATGTGGAAGGCCCTGGGTTAGTAGTGGAGATGCTAAGGTAAGCCAGACTCATCCTACCCAGAGGGCAGTAGACTCTAGGAGCTACAGTCATATAATTGAGGTGATGAGGAGTCCTCTAAGATGTAGAGGAAAAGTAAGAGAAGGTGAGGGTGTGGGGCTCCAGGTGAGAGTGATCCACGTGTAAATGCCCTATGTGGGGCCTTTTGGGCTTTGGGAAACTGTAGTTTCTTCGGAGGAAGCTGACTCTAATGAATTGGGGAGGTGGGGTGTCCAGGATCAGAATCTCAGAGGGTGTGAGAAAAGCCCATAATGGAAAACTGCTCTGAGCAGTTCCTTTTTGATGGCGGATGAAGAGAGAGTAGTGGGGCAGGAATGGATAGCATCCTGTACTTTTGTCCCAGTGCTGTTGAACACAGTGTAAGAGCTAGGTGATGGACACTCATCATTTGAAAGCATTTTCTGAGAGAGAAGCATGAATTTCCCTGGGAAGCACACCCAGAAGCCACTGGCCAGTTGCTTTTCTGCCTGAAGGAGAACTAGAGCTATTAAAAATGAATTCTAACTAGGTTATCTCAAGTGTAATTTGACCAATTGTAAGCAAGGGTTAGATTTTTGGTGGTGACAAAATGAATGAAAATAGTGGTTTGCATGGAAAAGCTTATGAGAGCGAAGGAAGGAGTTGGTCTTTGACTCAAATCCTAGGAGCTTTGAGCTGCATCTGGCTGGAGAAAACTCTCATATACCCAAATTTTGAAGTACATTCTGTAAGAGGCAACCACTTACTGACTTTTATGGATGAAACTTACTTTTTTTGTCTAATTATTTCATGTCCTATTGAGCTGTATGTTCTCTGATAAGTCCTGGAGATCAACGACAACCGCAAAATCCCAGAGTCCTAGGGCCTGGCGTCAAATAATGTTACAAACAGCAGCCATCTGCCATTCCTTAAACTTCTAACTTACACTAGGCCCTGAGCCAGGTGCTTCACCTACATTACACACACTCCAACTGTCCTACTAGACAGGGCTTATCACATTTGCTCATAGACTAAGAATCCAAGGGTCCCAGGGCTTGTGAATTGGGACGTAATAACAGGACATTTCTTGGATATTTTCCAGGATCACGTGGCTAGTAAGGAACAGGGCTGGAATCAGACCCCTGGTCTGATTCTTTAGGCTGTTCCCCCTCCCCCATGCCTCACGCTGACCTGACTGGTACTTCATGTCTCTTCTCAACACTGCATCATGTCTCTCAGTTGACAAAAAGAAAAAGAAAGATCTTGGGGCCAGCATACTAAAAGCAGACCTGGAGGTGACACAGCTTCCAGGTGTTTCCCGAAGGCATTGAGTAGAGTCTGATTTGCCATATTATCTATTAGTTCTTGGGATATCCTCCTGAAGTTAGAAGGAGTTTGGAATCACCTTGATACTTGGAATAAAACTTTTACAGGGTGTTTTATTTGGAATTCACCTCTGAACACATGGACAGATGAATGGTCAAACACCAAAGCTTCCCTCATGAACATTAGGTGAGGAAACACTTTGAAAATCCCAGTGGAACAAACATCTACTTACTGAAGCTAAATTTCTAAACCTCTGAAGTCTCCCAGGAGGTGAATCATGCATGATTCCTTGGAATATATGTCAGCTCTGATGAAAAAGGAATAATTAAGCAGCCTTCTAATGCCTCTTACCTGTTTAATTGCTCCAAAGAAAAATACTGGCTTTCAGTGTGCCTAGAGGCACCTGACAGGTTTTCAGGCATGTGGAGGGTAACAGAGACTCATAGCTTATGATTTTGATCAGGAATCAAATGGAGGAAAAATGTTCATCCTACGTAGAGGAAGCCAAATGAGCAGAACTTATGAACACAAGGAAATAACACAGTGGGGTCTATTTGATGGGGGAGGGTGGAAGGAAAGAAGCGAAAAAGATAACTATTTGGTGCTAGGCTTAGTACCTGGATGACAAAATCTGTACAACAAATCTGTGTAATAATCCTTCACATGTACCCCCAAACCTAAAAGTTAAAAAAAAAAAATAAAGTGTATTGCAAAAGGAAGCCTTCCTGCTGAGACTTTCAAGATTCTTGGACAGTTGTGATCCTATATTAGAAAGCATCTGTGACATGGTAGGGACTTGAACGAGCTGGAGAACTTCAAGGCAACTTTTTGGAAACTCCTAGAAATGAAATGGGTTGTGTGACACCAAATTATAATAGTTGCTTTTTATTGAGCACTTACTATGTAACGGTTTATGAAGGAGGCTCTATAACTTACACACATCTTGTCTTCCTCTCCTTTCTGGACACATGGGAAAGTAAAGTCCACTTGCAATTAGGAAGAGTAGTGTGACAGCCCCTTACCACTGAAACATGAGCAGAAGCATTGTTTGTCACATTCAGGAATGTGAGAGCGCGTGTGGCATTTTCCACTTTCTCCCTCCTTTCAATGTCAAACCTTGCAGCTTCTTTTTGAGACGATGGAATCACAAAGTGGAAATAACATGTATCTCTGGGTCACGTGAGAATGTAGAGGCCCTGCCAAGCTGTATCACAACTTATGTGTGCATAAAATAAACTTGTGTCATGCCATTCAAATTTCAGGGTTTGTCTGATGCATCAGCTAGCAGTTACTTTAACTGACATAGCTACCATTTCTGTTGTTAAGTATAAATAATTTTTATTTCAAAGATAGTAGTTTGTATATTGTTATTGCAAAAAATATAGACACTCAGTTTTGAATGTTTTGCCAGTTATGTGAAAGTTTTTTCTTTTTCGGCTGAAATTTGACACCCAAATTTCTTCCTTCTTTTCCATTTTACAAAACTCCTCCACAATTTATCCCCCTCCTTAGAGGTCACTACAATTAACAATCTGGTATGTATTATTTTAAAACTGACTCTAGGCTTTTAATTGACAGATACTCTATAACAATATACTGTTTTTATTTAATACACAAGAATGATAATGTCCATATTGATCTACCACTAGCCTTTGTCACTTCATAAAATAGATATGGGATCTTTCTACAACAGTACATATATAGATCTCTCTCTCTTTTGGAAGTACTTTCTATAATTCTTCAGTAGGCATGCACCATAATTAATTAAACTTTTTCTTCCTAACGGTCATGAGTTGTTTCCCATTTGCTGTATGATGAATAGAAGCAAAGCAACATATTTGAATATGAATTATTGAACAAACAGCAATGTTTCCTTATAAGAAATGTATTAACATGGGCATTGGGTGAAAATGAAAAGGGTATAAGTGGTTTAACATTTTATAATATTTCTAAAATTTCATTGCAAAATGGTGTACCAATTCACATTCTCATAAAAATCCAAAATGGTTTGAAATGTGGACAAGACATTTATCCTATGTTTTAAGAAGAACTTGGTCAGACAGGAAGACCCTCAGCCCTTGGGGGGCATTGGGAGGATCCAGGGGAAAGCAATTGCCAGAGTTCATGAAAGAGACCACATGAAAAACCAAGACCACAGAGCCCCAGGAAAGCTGGCACTCAGTGCTCTGAATCCAGAGTTCAGCCTGGTGGGGGCAGGGATCTGAGGGAGAGAAGGGTAAAGGGAGGAGGGAGAACAGGAAAATGAACAGGAATAGGCTTGGGAAATTGAGGCATCATCATTACTATCTAAAAGGGGCCATGTGATCTGAATGGGCAGGGCTGTTGGCTGATTGCATGAGTGGTGTGCAGGATGCTACACCCTCCCTCAGAATCACCTTCCGTCTATCAAGAAGAGTATGGCTGGCTCACTCCATCATTCTGGGTGAGCTCCTTCTCTTGACCACCCCAATGCTCCTCTG